AGTTAGATTTTGAGAAAGTAAGTATGAGAATGAGAAGAGTTGTACATGAGTTCCTTATTAATATTTTGACCCTTGAGTCGAGTCGTTCATGCCCATAAACTCCGCATGCACGTCGTAAGTTGAGCATCCTTCAGAGAAGTGGTGTCTTCAAGTTCTAAGCCTTTAAGTGTTGAGTTCCTAACCCCTCTTGAGAAGTATCTTTGAGTCATTGAGTTGAGTAGTTCATGCTCATAATTCCGCATGAACTCTGAGTTGAGCATTCTTGAAATGAGTAGTATTATTAAAGTTCTTGAGTTCCAAGTATTTGAGTTCTATCTATGGTTATTGAAAACCTTGCATTGAGTAGTTCATGTCCATAATTCGGTATGAACCATATTTTAAGAAGTCTTTTACAAACGTTTTAACTTTGTTTTAAGACTTAAGTTTTGAGTTTAGTAAAGAGTAAGTAGTAAAGTTTGAAGTCTTTTTCTTCAAAAGTATATGAGGACTAAGTATTCCCAAAGAGTTTATAAATGTTTTCACATTTAAATAAGAACGGAAACTGAGATTTCCAAAGAGCTTTCGGGCTAGTTTTCAGAAAAGAGTAATCGCTTTCTAAATGAAGTAAGAGAGGAAACTGGGATTTCCAAGATAGCCTTTGAGCTAAGTTTTTGAGCAATTATCTCAAATCAGCAGAAAGAAGTATGTTTTTAAAACATAAGAGCTAGTATATTTTTGGGAGTAGTATTGAGCACCGATATGGGGGAGAGTTCAGACAACTCACAGCCTCCATAAACCATATAGCCACCATGGGTTATAAAGGGTCATACTTTTTAGATGAACCTTTTTCGAAATAGACTAGTGGATCCATTAGGCAGTTCAGGTCCTATACCTTTGGCCGGGTATAGGATGCGCTGGCAGCGTGAGGAAGATCGTTGTATCATCACAATAGCTCTTATGTGATGATTGTCGGTTAGAGAAACGCCCACAACAATATTTTGTATTTTATATACATCAGGTTATTTGTATTTTTACATACATTTCAAAGTTATGTTGTATCCTTGCATACACATAGAGTTGACAACATGTTTTTAAACAATTTGTTTTTTTATATTGCACTTGTTTTAAATTGCTTTATATTGAAATGAGTTTAGTCATATTGAGTTGAGTATTCAAAGTTGAGTATCCAGAGTTGAGTATCCAGAGTCAAATATCATATCTTTGAGTCGAATATCATATCTCTGAGTGGAGTATCTTATCCTTGAATACTTCTGAGTTGAGTAAGTTTGAGTAATGTTGAGTATTTCTTGAGTTGAGAAAGTTTGAGAAGAGATAAATATGTTTCCTTTTTATCAAGTTTCAAGTTTATGTTTATGTTTTAGAATTCCCCTTACATGCTCGTACATTCCACATACTGAGCCATTTGGCCTGTATCTTCTCATGATGCAGACACAGGTATTCAAGATCATCAACATGAGCTTCAATGATACATCCGGGAGTTCGAGTTATCTATGGTGAGCCTCCTTGTTTCCGGAGGATTTCATTTACCTTTCAGTTATATCAGTTGTTAGGGTGTCGTGAGTCTTGTCCCGACTTTCATCTTTAACAGTTAGAGGCTTCATAGATAGTTAGTATAGTTGAAAAGTCTGTATCATTTATTTTATTAAATGATTTAAAGACTAAAGTTGCCTTTTTATTATACAGAGTTTTCTTTGGATTTAAAGTTTGTATTTAAGTTTTATGAACTTTTATTTCAATTTTAAGCTTTTGCATGCTTAAGTTATTCTTTCGCTTGTAGTCAGCCAGGATGAGGGTTCGCTTGGGGACCAGCAATGGTCTTTGAGTGTCGGCCACGTCCAGGGTGTAGACTCGGATCGTGACAGTTTGACTCTGATACCATGTTAAATTAAGTCTTAGGCTTAACTTATATCCCAAAAGATAACTCAAAGGGAGGAGGATTGTCCAAGCATTATAAGGAGTCCACCCATATCATTAACTAATAATGTGAAACTTTTGTCATTCTTTAACACCTGACCTCACGTTCAATGCTTAGTATCTGGTGCGTAAACAAGTTTCATTTCGGGGGTCCAACATAGGGTGAGATGTGTCATGCTCTGATACAAGATTAAATTAAATCTTAGGTTTAACTCATACCCCAAAAGCTCAAAGGAAGGACGATTGTCCAACCCTATAAGGAGTCCACACATCTCATTAGTCCCGTTGTTGTCATTCTTTAACAATTTCTTTTTATGAACATAAGGCTTTATCTGTTGGACCAAACATCAATTATTGCATAATATGTGGACTAAATTACAAATGTTATAACTTATACCAAATTGGTTTACATTACTTTTAGGAATTCGAATCTCCTTAGCAGTTAGCAGAATAACGACAGTTTCCAAATGGCCACAGCAACTTAAGGGTGTGTTTGGTATGGAGAAAAAAATATTTTCCAATTTTTTTTTTCCGGTCCTTCTTAAAATTGATATTTCTATTGAAAGAAGTAGGAAGTAATAACTATGTCACACTTACTATGATGATATAGAGTCGGTGACACTCAAAGACATAGATAATCTCGTGAATTTTAGCCATATATACCATCTAGTTTTTCGATTTCGATTAAAAGGGACAGGATGAGCATCCTTCTGGTACCTTAGCTTCCCCACGAAATATGCCTCACCTAAAATAAAATTTAGATGCTGAAAATGATTTTGACAACTCATTTTCATTTAAGATAATAATATTATAATGAGATTTGCCAGAACCAAATAGAAAATAATTTAATAACAAACAAAAACATGAAGGAGAGACAGTTGGTCTTTTGTTCCCATTGTGGGAAAAGTTTTATAAATTTAGTATTAAATATCACTATTTTTTTATTTTATTTTTGCAATTTTGCCCAGACATTATCACAATTATTTTTACATTGTAAGAATTTTGAGATTTTAGAATTGCAAACATTAGAATAAATAATTCATATTATATTATGCACTTTATAGAATGGACAAGGCAACTTACAACCTAAAAGTGGGAGGGTATGAATTTATTTGGAAAATATTTTCGAGGCTCAAATGTAGACATGTCAACCATCTTTGTTTTAAATAAAATATTAAAAAAGAGAAGAGTAGTCCTTTTTGCTTGTGAGAGAGAGGGAGTGATATTTGAGTTTTAGGTAAGGAGAAGTATCCATTGCTATATTCATCTTGCGGTCGTTTAGTTAGGAACAAATTATCTTGAAATTAATAATTTTGAAATAAATTATTTCATTATGTATATAAAATAACTTATTCTATCACTATAGTATAAATGGTAGGATAAATAATTTCAGGATTGCATAGTACCTCCAATCAAACGCAGGATAAAATAGTTTTATATTTCTATCTCTGGAATTATTATACCTTATACCTCACATCAAATGACTCCTTAGTGCTACTTTAAGTTTGTGCCTCTTGACATGATAATGACGCTACACTAAAACTGATTTTTTTTAGCTGCAATTAATTAGAAGTACTAGTTTAATTGTTGTTAAATATATTCTTTTAGAGGTAATTACTAGTGACAATTGCATATTAACACTCTTTATAAATGTCATTAAAATCTATTACGACACTAGATCTAATTACAATTAACTAACGTCGATAAAAAAATTAACACTTTTTATTAATATGTATATTTATTACCGCTAAAAAATTATATATTATATTTTGAGTAGAAATATTGGTCCTCCCTTAAGAAGAAATTGTAAGGATAATGCTCTATCTGATGTCTTGCATTAAGAATACAACATTTGGTTAGCATTTTGGTTTTTGCATAAAATTCAACATTAACAATACAACATGTAGTTAGCACGAAAAAAAGTTCGAAATATATTCGAACTTTGATCGATATTATTGTAACAATTTCAAATTTTGGGCAGCATTTATCATTCCTTCCATTATTTAATAGTGTATTTTAAAGATTGAGCCCATGTGAATATCATAAATGTTGCATCATTATAAATAGTAACTTGTACAGTACACTTACATATCTTTATAATGCAGGGATAGTAGATCCTGTCCAAAGTTTGAGATTGTTACAGTAATTTCGATCAAAATTCAGACTTTTTTCCCTTAGTTGGCAATTGGTAGTTCTTGCAATTTTTTATTTTAAAAAAAATTGGGGTTCTTGCCTAATATTCGGCTAAGGGTAAATTTCACATATGATCGCATAATTATCACTTGTTTTTATAAATGTCATTAACTTAACATCACTAAATTTTGAAATACTATAACTAAAGAATCACAAAATCGGAAAATGCTAAACTTTTCGATGCTAACTTTTTTTAAAAATAAATAATAATCTAATAAAGAAAAATTCAATTGAAAAACTTGACTTGATCCGATCCAAAAGCCAAATCCATAGGAAAAAAAGTAAAATATTAAAAGAATAGTTCTTATCTTTCTGATTTTTTTTTTTTATATATATATGCTAACACAATTCCCATGTTCAACATCTTTCACAACTCCAATTAATTCCTTCAAAAAAAATTCACTTAACATTATCTTTTAGTAATATTTTACTTATTCATATGAACTTGAATTTTGGATTGCATTATAGATTTTTAAAAATGTTTTAAACTAAAATTTGAATTTTCTAAGTTGTTTTTAAAAAAGAGTTAACATAAAAAATTTAGCATATTTATCTTCCATAATATTTATTAAAATTAAAATTATATACAAACGGTAATAACATCACATTTCTCTCTCTGTCTTCACCATACACACACTTCCAAATTCCACCTCCATAACCCCACAAAACATCTATCTTTTTATTCTTTTTTCCAATCCCCAAAATCCTTTCTTTAATTCCTACATCATATAATCTTGATCTTGATTTTGATTTTTCATATTCATCAAGATTCAAACTTTACCCTTTTATGCACATAACCTGTTTGATTTAATGTAACATTTCTCTTTTCATAATTCATAAAGATTTGCTTATAAATCAAGAATCAAGAAAAAGGGGTCTTTTTTTTGGATTCAAGAATGTCACAGATGCAACCATTAAAGAAGCCACCAGGCTTCAAAGATCCTACAATTCCAATCCAAATGCCACCAAGAAAAGTTAATCTTCCACCTTCTTTCAATGCACAAAAGAAGAAAAACAGAAGTTGTTGTTGCAGATGTTTTTGTTGTTGCTTTTTGATTATACTAATCTTGTTACTCTTATTAGTATGTGCTTGTGGTTTGTTTTACCTTTGGTTTGATCCAAAACTCCCTGTTTTCCATTTAAGATCTCTTGAGTTTACTAAATTTAATGTTAGTGAAAGCCAGGATGGGCAAAGATTGAATGCACAATCAACACTTGGGGTGGAGTTAAAAAATCCAAATGTGGAGCTGAAGATTGTGTATGGTGATACTAGAGTGGATTTGAAAGGCGAAAGCGATGTAAACATGGGTGCAGGTGAAGTTGTTGGTTTTGTGCTGGAGAATAGGAAGGTTAAAGTTGTTAAATTCGTTATGAAATCGAATGAGTTGTTGTATGATGACAGTATTGGGAAATTGATTATGAATGGATTCAAGAACAAGAATTTGAGAGTTTCTGTTGATGTGAGTACTGATATTGGTGTTGGATATAAAGGATGGAAGAGTTGGAAAATTAGAGTTAAGGTTTCTTGTGGATCTTTGAGGTTAAAGCAGATTGAAAATGGTGCTACACCAAAATGTGGCATCACCTTGTTTAACTGGTAAGCTAGTACAACTGTGAATAAATTCGAAAGCATAATACATAGACTTACACTTTTACTTGGCCTTCACCAGCAGCTGAACATCCCAGCTTTCATTGTGATCATCTTGACAGAGGTGTGTCTCGCGAACATCTTAACTTTGAGAATGTGTCTAGATGTGCATTTTCAAAGTTAGGTTGTTTACGGGGTTAAAATCAAGTTAAAGTGTCTAGATGCGTATTTTCAAAGTTGGAGTGTTAAGTTGCCTGTTGAGGTAAAGTTAAGATGTCTATCTATGTATTGTGCCGAATTAGAAAGCTTGGGTTATAACCTTTGTTGCTTAGATTGTATCGAATCCTCCAAAGATGCATAAATTTTAAAGGATCTGACAAACACTTTTTAAGAGTTCGAACAACATAGGTTATAGCTGATAGGTTATAGCTGAAGTGACCTTTGATTTATCATTTAGGTGGTATATACTGATAGTACAAAGATGCAGATAATGAAGCATGACCTTTTTGCATTTGAATTTCTGCTACAGATGAAGTCAATAATAATGTTCTGCCTTCTTAGTTCCTTACTATATTACAAGTATTGGAGTAATTTGTTGAAGTACCTTATTTTCTTGGTTATTGTTCCACTATGATAAATACTTTTAGGCGACCTGACATCTTCAGTGTATATGAATAATACTATTAAAGAATACATTGAATTGGTGATTGAACCATGCACATGGGGAGTAGCTATTACTTGTAAGTTTTAGGTGAAACAGACAAAAAAAAAAGTTTAAGAAAGATGCCATCTTAGCTTGTCACTTTAATGGAAAAAAAAACAACTAGTCATGATTGATATATCTAACATCTTTGGTGTACTATGAGAAGTACAAAGTACATGAATTAATCTTGCTAGAAACTATACATGAAGCATTCTAATTCTTGAATTGCACTTATAATTGTGTGTTTGATTTGCAGGTTTGATTTAAACTGATTGATTTAAGGAACGGAAGACATCGCTATCGGCTTAGGATGAGAAGAATGAAATGCTATTGTGCCTAAATCAAAGTTCATACATAAGTTCATAATGTTATACTCACCATTTAGATATAAAGTTTTATCCAAGTTAGTTTGAGAAGTTCCATCTTATAGTTGGTGTTTTTTTATAGTAAGGTAGTAGTAGGTGGAGTTGCAAGTATACCTTAGAATAATTTCAACTTGTAACCAAACTATAAGAGGATGAAAAAATAGTACTATAAGAGGTACATTTTACTTGTAAAGGCACTGGCTATTTCTGTCATGTGGAAAATACACATTCACCTCATTGATTATTTTGTTTATTTGTTCACTTGATTATGCATTTCAGGAAATCAGATTGGTTTATTGAAATATCATAGTGACGAAATACGAGAGAGATGTTGGATACATAACAAAACAATCTTCATTTTTAGTGGTGTATTTTAAAGTCATGCAAATCTAGACCTAAAACAATTATATAAAGGTATGAGAATCACTCCTTGTGCAATGCAAGATATATATACAATTGACATGCCTAACATATAGAACATATACATATACAAATTACAACTAGTAGAAATTTGTATTTATATAAAGATTCCACATATATTTATGTATACATATACAAGTGACAAGCCTAACACGGAGAGCATATACATATACATATATAAACTCAATTTTAATAGACACAAATGAATTAGCGTCTGATTTATATAAATTGCCGCAATTTATACAGTTTGGCTACATTCTTAATTCAATCGGATATTAAAAAAAATAAAAAAAATAATTCAATCAGATAAATTATCAATTTATTTGGCTATCCGTTAATTACAATTCTAGCCATTTGGTTTTACTCCAAACCTTTTCTTTAAGACCAAAAATCAGCCCAACTCCTCTCACACAAAAGACCCGTTCCGATCATCAGCCCACAATACTAATATTCCAAGCCTAATTATTTTCTGCCAAACAGCACCCAATGCTCGTCTTCTTCATACGCATCAGGCCTTCAAAACCAGAAAAAGCTACAACTCTGACCCGTCAACATCGGCAGCGATTCCAAACGGCGGAGCAGCTGGCGCTCAGAGCTTTTCCGCGTCTTCCTCCTCTTTTCTGCCTCAGTCGTACAGACCCATCACCCTCACGTCTCCTTTTTACCTCTTTTTGCGGAGTTTCAGAGCAACAACAACTCCCCATTCCTTTCTACTGTTGCCTCGAAAAGAAACAAGGAGATTTCAAAATATCCAACGGATTTTACCCCTAAATCTCCCCAATTTCCCCCATAAATAGTTTCCTATGCTCAAGGGATGAGGACAAGGTTTTGAGGTTGGTTCTTTGGGCAATAGTCGTTTTACACTTAAGAAATTTCGAAACGATTTTCTAATTCTAAGTCCCGAGAAAGGCTTTGATTGAGGTTGGTTCAAATTTGCCTGTCTGTTGCTCGAGTCTAAATCGGTGTAAGAAGTCGTTGGCTCGTTTTGTTCTCAGTTTGCTGCCTCAAAAAAAGGTAACTTGGTCTCCTCTTGTATTCTGTTTTCAATATGGTGTGTTGTATGCTGTGAGTTCTGTTTTCGATGCATTCAGCTCCTCATTTTAGTGTTTTCTTAGCTTCGCTTCCCACGGATCATTGGATAGTGAGTAGAAACCAGAATATTAATGGAGTTTTTCTTTGGTATTTTATGGTGGTGGTTTGATCCATTGATTCATTGTCAAGTAATTTAATTTTTTCTGCTCTGAATGATCTAGCGCTTTGGTTAAGATCATAAATACATTAGTCGTGTTGTGAGGTAAAGGTAGTGGTTGTCCCGATCGTGTGCCTTCATCTCTTTTTTATGGTTACAAGTTCTTGTTAATACCATTTTTAATTTGTTTTGACTAATTTTATTTTTACTTGAACTTTGAAATATTTTAATTAGCTTAGTCGAATTCGTTAAAAAATAGAATTATTTTTAATAAATTCCACTTTATCAACTTGTGTGTCCATTATTTACTTATTCAAATGTTTTGTAGTCCTAACTTTCATTTGTTTTGAATTAGTTTAAAATGATTTCTTGGTTTATAGATTAAATTGGTTTAAATTATTATTTTTAAAAATAATTTAAATTGCAATTTCATTTAAATGTTTCCTTCTAGGTCCCTTTTTCTTAAAAAATGAAAAAAATGTTCTTTATTTAATTATTTTCTCAAAGTTAATTTGTAGATTATTTTTGTGTTAAATTATTTTCCTAAAAAATAGTTAAAAAATATTTTAATCAAGTTGTTGAATAACCGTGTGTTAACGGACAATTCAAATGCTTTAAAAACTGTCTTGAAGTATAAATGATAACCTCTTATTTATTTTCTCTGAATTTATAAAAATTTAATCTGTTAGAGTCTTTTTAAATTAAATTTTCTTAATTTTTCAAAAAATTAAGTGACAATTCTTTTAAGTAATTTTAAATTGTTTTATATTTTAAACATTCAAAACGTAATTTTTCTAAAGACATTAAAATTATCACATAACACATACTTTCCACAAAGATAAGAAAAGTATTAATTTCTTAACATAATCCTAATCATATTATCCTTATATATATATATATATGTCAACAAGAAAAGGACCAAAACTGCCATATTTAATTGTACAACATGTTATTTGAATTGTACTGTAAAATTTGTCCTTTTTCAACACAAGCATTTTTTCAATAAAATTGTACTAATTGAGTTGTACTATGAATGTGTATCTATTTCATTGGCATTTTACTTTTTGTGGACCTATTTGCTTAGCATGTGTATGTTAACATTTACTTTTTCTCTCTCCAGATTTCTGTCCCTTCTCCTTTCCACTTTGCTTTTTCCTCTCACTTTCTATCCACTTTCTCATCATCTTTTTCAAGGAGCTAATGAATTGGCGCTGTAAGTTTTTTTATTTTGGCCCTTTTGGTTGATTTTATGTTCAATTGTTTTTAAATTTGATGTTTTGTGGATATATTGCATGGATATAATTTCATGTTGGTCCTTTTCTTCTTCAGCTCCTATGTAGATGAGTATAGACCCTCACACCCCTAAGACAAGGGGTTTAACATATCATAACAAAAAGTAAGACAATTATCAAAAAGATGTTCAATTGGAATGACAAAATCTGCAATGTTCAATGCCAAATTAAGATTAAAACCTTAAAATCTCAATATTTAAGCTCAAGACCATCTCCAAGAATATTCAGTATTGTAAAAGTACGTAAAAATCTCTAAAATCTGTGTGAGACCCTATTTTCTCTCTTCAAAAATTAATTGATATGTTTCCAAAAACTTCTCAAAATTTTAATACGCAGTCCCATCGGCGAAGTTAGTCAAGATCGCCAAACGATCCGCTGATGAAAACGCCTTCTCGCCATTTGGACTTGACAGAAGCATACATTTGTTCTGTTCATATAGGTGAGCTGGCTCGAGCTCACCATTCTATTCGGCGCATCGCTGAAGTGCCTTTTGTTCGCCGAGTTGGCTTAGTTCATGAGCCAAATCGATGGACTTTTGGTGAGCTAAAAGCTCACTCAGTGAGTCGCCGAGTGGCTTTTGTGAGCTCCAACCTTTCTTTTCTTTAGCTTTTTCAACTTTTTAGTTTCTTTTCACAATGTAATGCCCTTTCCTTGTTCTTAAGTCTTCATGGCTGCACATAAATAATTTAACATCAGTTATGAACACAAAATAGACATTGAGGACACTAATTCATTAAATATTAAGCCCTACTTGAGTCAAAATTCTCGACTCATAGACACTCCTAACTTAAATTTTTTCTTGTCCTCGTGTAAAACAGAAGATCAATTAGGTCAACATGGATGTCTACAAGGAGTGCTCCTTGAGATTCAACATAAAAGTGCACATGAGGTTCAATTCAAACATGCAATGTTCAATTGTGTATTCAAAGTTTCAAACTAGGACTCACAATCATCAATTAGAGTTCATGCTTACAAATGCTCACTTAAAATGCAAATTAATGCTCAACAAAAGTATTCGAATGTCCTCACATCAATAATGATTTCATGCTCTCACAAAACCAATCAAAGACTAAAATTAAGGAGTCGAAATTAACTCTCACACTCCCAATGAGAAAAACATGCATGATTTTACCCTGGCTTTCTAGTATTTTCCAACCAACACATCATTTGGCTTATGCAAGATCAAAAAGGTCTTTTAAGGCTTGTAATAAGGTTGAGGGTAAATGTATGATCATTTCGGCTTAGTAACTCTACCTTTACGGAGCATGGCTCAAAGACTGCTTTTCCTTTTATTTCATTCTTTTCATATTCACAACTCATCCTTGGCCTATTCATAGCATACACAATTTTTTTTTTTTTGATGACAAGGGAAACCCGCAGTCGCTACCCTTGGGTGTGCATAAGATAAAACCCTCGTTCCTATGCAATAGCTCGCAAACTATATATGATAGCATACACAAATTTTGGTATAGCACATCGGATACCCTTTTATTTCCACAACAATGCACAACTGATACACATTTATCATTTCTTCTCTTTCTTCTCTTTTATTTCACTTTTTTTTTATATATATTTGTAGGGGTTCCATATTTTTCATTACAAGTTTTCAAGGACGAATTTCATGAACTTCTTGCTCAGTTCCTTTTCTCATTCTTACCACACCTCCAACTTAGGCTTTTGGCCTAAATTGACTATTCAAACAAATGCTTTACGAAGGTTATAGGTGGGAAAGATATAACAATTTCAACAACCGATCTAAACATTTGTGTTCATGTTTAATCCAAAGAAAAGGTTAGACTCAAATGATGTGCTATGTTCACACTCACAATGTGGTCACACAAAGGTATAGCAATTAGGTTCACTCTAAAAAATTCATGCCTAAGATCATTTCCTTCATTTACCAATGCTAGTCTATTGGACCAACGATGCAAGTTTTAGGTGTCACACCCTATTTCGAATTAGTCAAAACAGTTAACAACATAATATGACTCTAGGTAGTTCTATGGAGACTCTTCAGGACCGTGCTCGGATG